TATATTATTGTTTAGGGGCCAGCTGAAGGCCGCCTCCGGGTGAGGGATTTTCTGGCAACATTGAAGACCCATTGGTTGTCTTTGGTCGGGTTGTTGTCTCTTTGACACATGCCCCGTTTCTTTCCATTCTCTAATCTGTCACTTGTAAATAATAAAAAAAAAATAAAACCAGAAAACACTGATCATTTGAACAAGTATAAACACTGATTCGTATCAACTTCATCACAGGTCTATAGAAATGGTTAATGATAATATGTACGATATTAAAGTACCAATATCTGTGAACCACAGTTGTCTGGTCAAGAAACCTTTGTGAATAAACAATAAGTGGTTCAGTTAGACACCCGTTATTCTATTTATTCAAGAATGTCTGTATTCGTAATATAATATTGACCAATAAATATTATTTTGTAGTTGGCGTAATAAATTGTTACTTTCATACAATATTATCATCATATTAATGTTTCGAGAATCGAATTTCAACTAAAATCGCATATTACATGTACGACTCAATCACCAAATTCATTATTTCTTGTGCTGAAAATAGAAAACAATTTTAGGTTTAACACTTTATATAATGTACAATTTACGATAGTAACATCGCCGCTTATATGTTGATGTGAAATAAGAAACATTTTATAATGAAATACTTTGGCAAGTATTTGGTTAGCGAACTTGTTTTTAAAGTATGCCCTCTCATTGTTGTATACTCTGAAGTGGAAAGCTTTGGTACACATGTAGGTCCTTGAAACATCTTAAATAGTTGAAGACCGTAAAAATCATGTTGACCATTGGGTGTGTTTTGGTCATTTATATCGTTGGGATGCTGTCTCATTGAAATATACCCCATCTTATTTACTGAACATACAGATCATGATTGTTTAATTTATTTAGGATTATATCTTTTTGCCATGTCATTGTCAGTTTGTCTTTTAATATCTTCTGCCTCTCTTATGAAGCAGTACCGTTTTATTAAAACATAACCTGACCACGATTGCTGTATAAGCTTCCGTTCAATGTTAGTATATTTGGGTTTCCCCTGTTTAGTTTTCTTAACACAATTTAATGTTAAGATTTGTTGTAAAATTGAATTTTGAAATTTAAAGCAGATTTCGATTTACATGAAATTTTACCGTGATTAATTTATTTTTTTTGGAAAAGTTTCAGAGACCTGCTATATTTCTTTATTGCCCATAAACATTCATTTACTGAACTAGTGATTTGATTTTATTTACAAAAAAATATGCATTCATATTCGAACATTTGGAAGGAATGGATGGATTCTATTACACTGTACATCATGTGCTTGAGAGACAAGTTTACAGCTAGGCAATTAATATTGTATGACTGATGTTTGGCCACTATAGTAATTCGCGGATATTGAAAATCTTCTATGGAAAATCTTTTTCCATCATCAGTGTTACCGCAGAGATTATAGGAAACATGTTAGTAGACAAGAATGTTCTTCATTCTGATATATGTCACGTTTATATGCATAAAATAATTACAAAATATATCACAGATAACGCGTCCTCTCAACGACTCGGATAATCTCAATCATATAAATCAAAGCTGTTCGTCTTGCGAATCATATGTTTCCGAAGCGGATACAATACATTTCTTTTCTATATCTTTCAAAAGCAGGTATAAAATTGGTTCAGACTGAGTGTTTATATTTATTATATGCATGAGGGTCTGGGTGGGGTTCTTTATTTCTTATTTTTATACCATTTTCTCTATTCTTTATTTATTTTGCCCATTTTTCTCTATTCTTTAGATTTTAACAATCCATTATTCTCTATTGTTTATTATTTTTCCCAATTTTTTTTTTTTTTTTTTTGCTTTTTATATTCTGCACTTTTTGCTCACTTTTCTCCATTTGTTAACCCCATCCATCCAGACCCTCAGCTGCTACAGTTTCATTCTTTTTAATTTGGATTTCTCAACGTATATTCAATATGATCACATCTTATGAAAGGTTATGCTATAAGCATAGAGGCATGTTTACAACAGCCTGATACCTATTTAACATTTGATAAAAATATAAAAGGCATCTATTAAATGTTCTGAAATATGTTATAATCTTCAATTTTGCAATTATTGGATTTCTTCCTTGTGCATTAATAGTAGAAATATGCACGTGGTGCAATAAAATTAGTATGATAATCGTTTTTTTTTTGTTTTTTTTTTTTTTGTATTTTACTCTAACAGCTTTAAGGACACGAACAATATACATTGTACAATCTGTTTGTGATTGTGTTTTGTAAAGTAATAAATATCATCTCCTGTCAGTATTTCATTGGTATTTCTAAGAAAGTTTAAGAAACAAGGTTTCTCAGTCATGTCATCGAATGCTTTACGGGCGCTATCTTGCCATGATTTTGTTCAATTTTTATCTCATATGTGGTAGCCTTTTCTTTGTTTATATAAAATGAGGAGATATCACTGAATAAGTATTTGTTAATTAGAATATGCACTAATGTGGCAATTGGTGGTGACTATGATTAATTTCTCTAACGTCGGACATTTTTTTTTTCAATTATCCACTTTCTACAAAATTAAATCACGTTCTTATCATTAAGTTACTTACCTCTTACCCCTTCTAAAACGATTGTCACTTCTGGGATCGAATTTACGCACATTTTCGTCAATAACTATACAGTATATTATATAACGGACATTACATTTTGAATGTATAATTTCTTTACTAAATCAAATCAGATTTTTAAACTTTTGCCTGAAAAGCATGTTTAATGAAATTTCTGTCAATATAAGCTGTGCTTGATTATATAATTTTACATGATGTCAAACATTAACTGGTGCGGAACGTTTGCGCTTTTTTAATTGACATTTTAGCTTTTTCTACAGGATATTTGCGTTTTTTCAACATAACATTTGACACTCAATCCCCGTTTGGTGTTTGTGACCTGGGACTAACAGGTTTGACCTGACGGAGTAAAAGTCATTAAATATACAAAAAATACAGCTCACAATTATATAATATCTAAAAGTTAAACACTAAAAACAGATAAAGCACGTACAGTCATCAGTTTTTGCCTTGGTTACTTGTCGCCCAAAAATAGATATTTATCGCAAGTAATATATCTTAACTGGTATTTATCCAATATGTCAAATAAGTATTGTATTTATTTTTTTTTCATTTATGGAATTCTGGTCCGAGGTTTCAGCTTATTAATATGTCTAGTTTTGATGTAGTTGACGGATTGTTGTTCCATTGTAATTTCAAAAAGTAAAACTGTACATTTCTGCTCTTTAGTCGGGTTGTTGTCTCTTTGACACATTCCCCGTTTCCATTCTCTATTTTATTATAATGGGAATCCATTGAGAAATATCTAGGTTCTCATGGAACTTCAGCCATTAAAAAAATCCACAAGAAAATCTTCAACTTCCTAATCTGGATTTATGAAATCAACTTCCTACGTCAATCTTAAACTTTTTGTGTTTCTTAAAGAGATCTTATTCTATATGTTCTTTATACAATCGCTGGTATTCTATAGCGCAAATGCTCGGTCAATTTAGTACAGGTGTATCAAAGTTAAAAGCTCAAATGTCATTCTCATTTGGAACGCACATGTCCTTTAGTGTTTCAGGTCACAAGACGCGAACGTTCTGCGACCAAATTCACATAGAGCACGCCTGTCGCCCTAAATATTTTGAAACCGCTGGTAGAAAATCACGAAAAATGCGCTATATATCTTTTTAGTTGGGTTTCTTCTTTGTATTATTTTATATATTTGTACGTGTTATTTTTGTGTAAATTGCAATTTTACCAATTATCCTTGTATCTAAAAATGAAGGGCAATAAATCTATCAAAGATACCCGTATAAAAATTACCAGGTTTTATATCTAGAAGGCGAGACTCTTAGAAATATATATTCTTGTTCTTCAATTTGAAAACAAGAGCTTTGCTGAGAGAGGGGTTCGTCTGGGTAAATTCGCAATCATGTCCAGTTTGTGTAGCAACGACATTTCCAAGGCATTTGATAAATACATACTTGTAAAATACACCAAAAAACAATTTATAGGAGCAGTCTGTTTATGACTGGTCAAACAGCAAATTATTTTTGATAGTCTCTAAGCATTATAGTTATTAGACCTGATATTTTACACCAGAGAAATTTTACAACAATTTCGACTTGATACAATTTGTATTGATACAAAAAGTATTAAAGGAAATAATCTTACCCAATAATTTTCTCTGAACATGAAAATGATTTTTTGTTTGTTTTATTTGTTTTTTCTGGGTGTCCGAATTTTGTTTTAGGAGAATAAAATAGCATCCTCCCATTACTTGTTTAATTGCTGATCAATGTCGAAAAAGGGAATGATACTATCAATATAATTACCAGATCTTTGGGTATGGCAGTAGTATACTTCCATCTATATATGAAATCTCCAGATCAGTTCAATGACATGTTTCAGTTCAGTATTTATTTTCCTACTTTCATTCGGGGATTGAGTGTCATATTTTCCATTATACTCAAGAATTACAATTCCATTTCAATAATCCATTACGCTCAATAAACCGATTTGTATTTCCTTAAGTAATATGAAATCCGATTGATAAATGTGATTATTAACCTCTAGATATGCGAAAGAGGATTCGTGTGATCTAATCGTTTACCTAGGGAATGCTTATCAACACAATGATAATAATTACTTGTTTGATTTGTAAAATTTTCTTCCAGAAACTAATTTTGTTCAAATTAATTATATTGAATTATTTATAATGTAAATTATGTTATAGTTAGTAAAACAAAAACAAAAACATATTTAGTTGTGAAGATTAAAGCGTATGAGATTCAATTTCTCAATTAATATATACAAGAAACATGAATATATATATGAACAATCTGACGCAGAATTCTACATTTAAACTGCCTTAAAGAGCTGTCGCTTTTATTGATCTTCTAACACTGGACAAATAAAACTCGTTACAACTTCAACAGTGCTATTATAGTTATACTTCCTCTGCAGGTTGTCGATTAAAAAATATTTACCACTCAACTTCTTTTTAAAAGTTTATAAAACCATTTAGACAATGAACAACGTAAACTATACTATATTTAATGAAGAAAAGATGTCTTCAATTATGGAGACCGGTATAGAAGGACAATTTGAATGGTCAGATGCACAGAACATTAATGCGAGTAATGGCAAGATAGGAGAGGTACAGCTTGGATATATCATTAGTTTTACCATTGCCTTCTTTTTAATTGGGATCATTGGCATCGTAGGTAACATACTGGTCATCTTTGTTATATTTCATGATAAGAAAATGAGGAAATCATTGACAAACATGCTGATTGTAAACCTGGCCGTTGCTGACTCAATTATTATGATTTTTGGAATTCCTGAGATAGTCCAGTTTATGTTAGACCGTGGATGGATACTTGGGGAAGCTATGTGTAAAATACAGCGATCTGTACTTGTAATGTCCCTATATGTGTCCGTGTTGACACTTGTAGCATTATGTATAGAAAGGTAAGAAAACTTTGATTCCTTCCAATACAAGTAGCTAGATTTATGTCTTTTATTTTTTAATGCATATTTAGGACATTGTGAATGTACTTGGATTTGATCCTGTTTTATTATCTTTTTAGACTTGTTCTCTTGATATTTATATAACGTTGCTAAAATTAATTTAAAACAAACTTTGGTCTGGAAGATCATGATTTTTTATTAGTTGAAATTGGGTTAAACTTTGTACTAGCTTACAGTAATTGCGAGTACTCTTTGTTCGGTACCTTTAATCTTTTTTTAGTTTTTTTTTGTTTGTGCTCTGTATCAATCTTGGGAATTAAGCCTTTTTTACGGATTTCTACAGTTTGTTTTTAGGTTTTGTTGCTACATCACTGTCTCAGATAAGGTAGAGAAGAGTACTCTCACAAGCATGTTTAACCCTGCCACATTCTTTATGCGTCTGTCCCAAGTCAGGAGCCTACAATTAAGTCGTTGTAGTTGGTTGCTGTCTGTCAAATCATGCCACTGGTTTCCTCGTTTGAATTGTTTTACATTTTGTCATGTCTGGGCCTGCTAATGGCTAACAATACCGCATGGGTTTTGCTCATTGTTGAAGTCCGTATGATTACCTATAGATGCTTAAAAAATCAACGTCATTTTTACTATGGTGGATAGTTGTCTCATTGGCAATCATACCACATATCCTTATTAATATATTTATAATTATTCATTTTTTATCTTATAAACAAGAGATGTAAGACACGTAAACGAACTGACAACGTCATGGATAAAACGACCGAAAGACAAACAACAATCTACAAAACACAACATAAAAGACTCAAGACTTCACGAACCCCAACAAAACCAGGGGAGGTTTGGGGGTAATGTCAGGTGCTCTTAATACCATATATAGTTATTACTTGTTTATTTTATCTACTTGTTTTACTCCAATTTTATAGTCTAAACCAGGTGGAAATATGTTCATGCTGTTTTTATGTATTGTTTAGACCTGAAGCGTTAGACCTTTCTGACTACTCTTTTTAACGTAAAGTCGTAATCGGTTTTGTCCTATACTGAATGCTTGGTAATGTGTCTGGTGTCATAATTATAAAACTGCTTATAAAACTTTTAATTTTTCGAAATACTAAGGATTTTCTACCCCAGGAATAGATTACCTAAGCTAAATTTAGCAAAACCTTTCAGAATTTTATGTCTTAATTCTCTTAAACTTTGTACTATATTGGCCTTTTCAACTTTTTGAAATTGAGCGTCACTGGTGAGTCTTTTTGTAGACGAAACGCGCGTCTGGCGTTTACAAAATTTTAAGTCTGGCATCTATGATAAGTTTATTTGTAGCTGCTTTTGTTATTCTTTTTTGTGGCTAAACACACAACGAGTATCATCTGAAGATTTTTTCCCCTAAATAATCATCTTGGCATTTTAAAATATATTTTGAAGACAAATTCGCAAAGGTTACTGCATATATTATGTTTTTCTGCAGAATAGGCAGAAACATTAAAACAAATCTTTATTTTAACTTTCGTTTGAATTGGTTTTACATATAAGTCTGCATATACGGACGAAATAGGAATAGTCGTGTTATTAACAAACATGATTTGTCTTCAAATACTTAGTGTTGTAATTATACTTCTTTTAATAGTTCGTTTCGCTTACTAAATGTAATACTTTTAGAAGTCTGTCACTTTCTTGATAGTACTGCTCATGGTGCTATTTTCTGCCTTTTTAATTATAACAAGATGTGAGGAATATAATGACCGTGAACTATCTGTTATAAAATCTAAATAAATGGGCCGTGTAGGAAAGACTATTTTTTATAGTTACAATATATGACTCTATCTCCATCATATTTTGTATAAAATACTTTTCTAGAATAACGTACTTGCGGGAGTGTGTCTAATGATCCTCATTCTTTTACGATAACTACCATTTTCATCTACATGAAAGTTACAATTCGCTTAAGAATAACCTAACATTTTATCTCAATTATTGTAATTCCCTTTTCAATTTTATTCTTTGAGTGCTGTATAAATACTGACTATCTCGCTATAGAAATTCTTTAAGTATGTAAATTGATGTAAAGTAAATGTACATATTACATATTTAGTAGAATTCTTTCTTTACTGTGAGTTTCTTTCTACTAATATGAAACAGGACTTCACGTTTGAGAAGAAAATCACTCGATGACAAAAACGTTAAAAAGTATTAACAAAAATGATTGTAAAATGATTGTTTTATTCAGAAGTTGTGGTTATTAATCACTTAAACGATATGTGAACTCTAACAAAACGCTGATGGAAACTGCAAACATTGTGTACTTTTCTATACTCTTTGAAATGAGTTAGTTAACTTTTTAACAGTATATGTCTTTGTTTTGTTTTCGCCTTGATGTGATTTTAGGAAATAGTTTAAACAAAATTTTACACTTAGTAACTATCATTTAAATGTAGTTTACTTTTATGTTTTCGATCTGATACATATTTCGTTCTGATATACAGATGCTAATGTTTGAACCAGTAAGAAGATTTAAACTTCTATTTTTTTTTACGGGCCTCCGGATATTTTGGATGAAAGAACATACCACGTGTACCTAGAAATTACGTCAAAGCAAACCAGGTGCAGAATTCAAATTATGTACTTCAAATCGAATTTATCAGATTGCTTTACAAGTTTCAACTGCACAGTAAACCGTAAATGTAACGGAACTACAACCCATATAACAATTAAGTCCCCCTACTTTTCCCAAAAACGAACACAAACAAACAAACAATATGTGATAGAAAAACAAAAACAAACTTATTTCAATTAATGAATTCAAAATCTAATGATTTTCCAATTATTACCTCTTTATAAATTATTAAAATTAAATTTAACATGTTATCCGCCTACTGATCAAGTGTTTCGGCCTTAAAACTTATTTATTACGTACATTTTGGAAAGACAATGTGCTGATAAATTAAAACTAAACCAAATTTGCTCACTGACATTCGGTAGTTTTTTTATATTTAGTTTGTTTTTCTACTACAGATATATTTGCAACATCTTTTGGACCACTCTCATCATTTTTATGTATTAAAAAAATACTATTATTATATAAATGTAAAAATATTGTAAAATTCAAGTTTCAAGAGCTTCGAATTGTGCTTTTATCGGTAGTTGTACAAGAAAAAAGATACATTTTAAACTTGTGATTTGGTTGAACTGGACACTATTATATGTAAATTTTGTTACCGGAATGTCATGTATTAAGTTATTTTAAATTGATATTCACTATAGCTAGTTAACATTTATGTATCTGTTATACTGAACAAAAACAATCCGTAAAGTATGACTTCATAAAACTCATTTTACAGAAGTCGTCGTTAATTTTATCCAATAAAATGTACTGCTAGTGCTCACATATGTTTCAGTGCAAGGATACATTCATGTTGACATGGAGCAGTGAACATACAAAAATTGCAAAAATGTCAGTAATTCTACATGTTTTAGGTTCATAAATAAAATCAATAAGACAATGTATAAATTAGGTTTACCAGGTACAATGTAGTTACAAGTTTATCGACTACATAAATGTGACTTTTACTCATTTTAAAGATCACGGAAATTATTTAAGAAAGATGTCATTATGTGTATAATTTTTCTAACACTTGTTTTTTTTTAAGTCATAGAAAGAAATGTATATAACAGGAAATATGGGTATACGTTAATAAGACAAAACACAAAAGAAATCTAGAGACAAACAAGCGATCTTCAAATACATACATGTTTTATACAATATGTCAAGGTCTTTTAATTACATCTCGAAAAAAGTGAATACAATCAGCCACCTTCAAAGATCTGTCATCAACACCAATTTGCCAAAACAGCTTCAACATATGTCAAAAAAACAACCCATAGCCAGAAATTAGTAGTACTTTTGCTAATTAATATTCATAATATGTAAATGAGAATTGTACCACGTGATAATAGTTTGAACTGGACTGGCTTGATATCATTAAAATCTTTAAAACACGGATATTATAAGTTGCCCGTCACAGAGTTCTTGTTTATAATCACTCTGATATTTCCGTAAAGTTGTCAGGCGGTCAAAATCAAAACAATGAACGCGAATTTAGTGAATTTTTCGTGTTATCGTGATTTTATTCTTCTTGAAATAGGGGCATTTTAACTTAACGTGGGAACCTAGAGTTCAACGAATACACATACAAGGTTTGGCCGTGACTTGCTTATTCTTTAGACATTCAAGTTTCAAGTTTCATCCCGGCAACCTATTTTTGTAATGACCTTGTTAGCCAATTTTCAACACGAAGTTTAGAAATTTGACGTTTCAGCCATTTTAACCTGTATTTTATACTGCAATGTTAAAAGCCTCTCGCTTCGATTTTTAAAATAGCTCAGGAACCTTGATTTTTGCAACGACAGTCATTATGTTTCGTTTAAATGGTGTATATTGTTGTGTATATCTATTTTCTGTCCCGGCAACCTGTCTATCACTTAAATTAAAGTTAAAACAGGCATTTTTTCCAAAATTCCCTATCATTTCAATATAATTTCCGTGACCCGTATCCGATTTCTTTAGTATAATATTCAAATAAGCAAAGTGGCGTTGATTTCTGGATATGCACTAATGAGACGTTATATACCGTATTCCACAATATTAACGGTACCTATGTCGAATTTCACTGCAGATAGACAATTGGTGGTGGTGAAAAGTTGAAATAAATCATTGACTTACATGATCCTTATTTCTGAAATTATGTTCTCGACCAATGGTTTATAAAATACATAAAAAGTAAAATCACAAAAATACTGAACTCCGAGGAAAATTCAAAAAGGAAAGTCCCTAATCTAATGGCAAAATCAAAAGCTCAAACACATCAAACGAATGGACAACAACTGGCATGTTCCTGACTTGGTACAGGCATTTTCTTAATATGTAGAAAATGGTGGATTGAACCTGGTTTTATAGCTAGCTAAACCTTTCACTTGTATGACAGTCGCAT